AGAATTGGAGCTTGTAATCAAAAGCAAAAAAACAAAAGTAAACAAAAACTGAGCTTATGCAAGTAGGATTTGTCTTACAAAACCCGTCTTCAATAAACTGCATTCGCATTTATGAGGTTTATGTTTAGGTGAAGCTGAGGACAAATAAGATCGACAGGATTTACTGAAACATACTTAGGCGAACCTAAAGGTTAATAATTTCGGCAGGATTTACTGAAGCTTATGCTTAGGTGAAGCTGAGGGCTAATAAGTTCGATTGAATTTACACAAGAACTGCAGACAATCCCACAGTGTTGCTTCCCGCAGCCTGCAGCTGTACATAACAGTTATACCTCTGTTTTTTTCTCTTCGAAATCCCACAGAAGTGGAGGCTGATTTCATCCCCGCACATCCAGTCTACCTTGCTCTTACTCACTTCATGGAACTTATTAGATCTCAGCTTTACTTAAGCATCAGTTTTATAAATAAACAAGCCTAATGACGGGTTTTTGTGGAGCAGCTTTACCTAAGCACCAGTTTTGTAAAAAGGGAAGTCCCAGGAGCACTCTTCCTTATCCTTTCCGTTCTTCATCGCTCTCCTCTCCCCTCCAAATGTATGTTACTAAGTCAACCGGCAAAGCATCTACGCCATTTAGTCCTTATATCCGCCTATCCTAGCCCCCTTCCTTGCCTAGAGCGAAACCCGCCACATACCACCCTACTTCCAACTGCTACATTCAAACTGTCGCCATCCGCCGTGGGGCAGCCCTACCTGCAGCCAGGAGAAAAATTTTTTGTGACTTGTTTATGAGACGAGCCGAGCCGAGCCAATCCGAGTCGGGCCGGGCCGAGTTTTTATGCGTTTTTTGCAGCTATGCAATGCAAAAACGCATACTGTAGAGGGGTTGTCTGTGTATGTATGTGTGTCTGTGTGTGCGTCTGTAACGAGTTTTCATCTCGAGATCCACAAAAGCTACAAGGCTGAAAATCTGGTGACTTAATCTACATATACGTGCGGGCTCGTATCATCAAAATGGACGCACGGGTCCGAGTGGTTCTCACGTGGGGGCACGTGAAAGTTTTTTTGGTGGGGAAGCATTTTCGGGAACGGCCCATGCTAGGAGGCTGGAACTTCACAGAGTTGATCCTTGGCCGCGTCTAACCCAAAGATTTCAAATTCAGCCTTCATGCACCCTCGGAACTCACGTACACGCACGTCAAAGCTTAAACTGGCATCACGCCAACTCCAAATTTAAGGTGATCAATAAGCTGCAGAGAGATGCAATTCTGCAGCGTTACTTGTCGCCTACTGTTGTGTCCGTGAAAGTAAATTATTTGTCAGCCCTTTAGAACTGAACCATTGAACTTTAGAATTGAACCAGCCAGAGGCCCTGAACTTTCTGAGCATAACCGATGGTGCCCCTTCACCAGATGCACGCAAAAACAAGTTACACATTACTTCCACGTCTCACGTACGTTTCACGTGTACACAAGTGAAATTTGACGTAACTTCGCAACCAGAGCAGCTGGAGTGCTGAAACTTTCTGAGCGTTACCC